TGTGGAGATGTGGTGGGACAGCTTGCATGACTGGAATGCTGTTGTGGATGGCTGCGTTCCTTGTAGGAGAGGCAGACAGCTGAGGTGGTGAAGTTTCTCTTCTGGTGGGAGAACTGGAATGTGCCGAGCCTCACCTCCCTCCACAGCAAGGTGATGGGACAGCTGTAAGTGACCTGGTGAGCAAAAATTTCTAAGTAGTCACGGTGGGTTTGGTGAGGGGAAATGATGCTGGACCAAGGCTGTAGCCTTCTGTGTTGTGACTAGTTAGATGAGAGAAGGGCAGTGGATGGTATGGGGGGAATATCTTACTGTCAGTAATTATCTGAAGTGCAGGAGTTTTGTTGATGATGTGCTTGTTCAGGCATTGATGGGGGGTGTGAGGTGGAAACATTCACAGACTGGAATGTTAGTGCTTGTTGTGAGTGATGGAATAGGCTGTGGAGTTGCTTTCTCTGGGGGTCTGTGGGTTGTGTCTGGATATGTTGTTGCAGGGTGAGTGCTGCAATGGAGCATTTAGCAGTGAGGATCTGCCTGAGCGTGGGAGTGGTTTCATTGAAGGTGAGATGAAGGAGGTGAGTGACATGAGGGCTGCCCACCCTGTGTCCTCTGAGAAGTGGTTCATGGAGCTCTTCTGCAGGTCCAGGGCTGGAGTGGGGATTGTGCTGTCCTTTGGTCCCTGAACTGTGTGTGTGCTGCCCCTGGGCTGGAGTTTCCATTTGGGATTGGGTGCCAGGGGACACAAGTTGTTTTTGTTTGAGGGTGATGGTGTGTGGCAGGTCTGCTCCTGGAAGAATGGAATTGACAGTGTGAGGGGAGAAGTGCAGCCTGCAGGACTCTGGCAACCAGACAGCCTGTGAGCCTGGGACTTGGGTTCCTCCATCTCAAGGTGAAGCTTTACTGCAGTATGTGGATGCCATGGAAACAAAAGAGGACTGTTTGGACTGTGAGTTTGCTGAATTTCTTGGTTTAAATGATCAAGTTTCTCAATGGAAATCAAAAGAAGAAAGCAATTTGCTGAATGCCTGGAAAACCAACATGGATATATCTCTGTTCCTGGGGGGACCTTGGTGAGGTCCAGCCTGGCCAAGGTATGTTCTTACTTTAGGTTGTGGTGTGGCTGGCATCCTGAGGGGAAAGTCCTCATCCTAGGCTTGTGGGTGTGCTGAATCCATGGAAGAAGCAGAAGAGAGCTCCAGGTAGGCATGTGTCTGGTGTAGTCCTTTGACCTGGGATCCTCTTAGTGGGTGTAGAG